CCTGCTGGATGAAAATAGGATTCAGGATCTGTCTCTCCTCTATCAACTCTTCAGCCGAGTGCGAGGTGGCGTTCAGGTCCTCCTGCAACACTGGATCGAATACATAAAGGTACATGTGGGTTTCCATTTTGTGAATATGATGGGTGATACTGTGATCTTTGTTCTGAAAGTTTGATTGTCAGAACATACTCCGAACTCATCCTGCAGGCTTTTGGAAGCACAATCGTGATCAACCCTGAAAAAGACAAAACTATGGTGCAGGAGTTGCTCGACTTCAAAGACAAGGTGGACCACATCATCGATGTATGTTTCATGAAGAACGAGAAGTTTGTGAATGCAATGAAGGAGGCTTTCGAAACATTCATCAACAAGCGGCCAAATAAGCCCGCAGAGCTCATAGGTGAGATTTTCTGAGATTTTAGTTCAAGTCCCTAACGTCCACTTCTTGTTTTTAAATGCTGTTTTAATTTCCAGCCAAACATGTGGATTCTAAACTGCGAGCTGGAAACAAAGAAGCAACAGATGAGGAATTGGAAAAGATGCTGGACAAGATCATGATTATATTTAGATTTATCTATGGTAATAATTAAAAGCCGTTCTAACAGTGATGGTGTTTCCCCCTTGCGGTCATTTATGATTACCGGTACATGTCGTATTTGCTTTCCTTTAGGAAAAGACGTTTTTGAGGCCTTCTACAAGAAAGATCTCGCCAAGAGGTTACTGGTCGGAAAAAGTGCTTCTGTGGATGCTGAAAAGTCAATGTTGTCCAAACTAAAACATGGTAAAAAGAAAGAAAGACAAAAAGGATGCTAAATGAACAATTCCAGGGAGGGAATTTGGAAAGAGATTGACTGTATGTTTTCATCCTAGAATGTGGGGCAGCATTCACCAGCAAACTGGAGGGGATGTTCAAAGATATGGAGCTTTCTAAAGACATCATGGTGCAGTTCAAGCAGGTAAGAATGCACATATAGGTCCGTTGTTTCCCGCAGCTAATTAGCTACAATGCCCCATTACAGTGAAAACCGACAGGGAAAAAAACTCGTCATTTGCAAATAGGCTGTTCGCATGCTCAGTTACCACAGTGCTTACGTTTTTCATTTAATTATATTTATGGCCTAGAAGATATGTTGTAATTATGACTTATCTATAATGTTAGCGAAGCTCAGTGATAGACCAAGGCGCATTCTGCCTTGCATACAAATTCGGGTTATGTTGTCACCTTCGAACCTCATATATTTATTACTGAACATCGTCATCTTCCCCCCAACCATCCACTAGAAGACTAAATGCCTCACCAAAGCATGTCCTTCGACTGCCATGTCTTATTTCTTTCAGTATATGCAGTGCCAAAACATTCCCGGTAACATCGAATTGACTGTGAACATCCTCACAATGGGCTACTGGCCCACTTACATCCCCATGGAAGTGCATCTGCCTCCTGAGGTGAGCAAATATTTAGGTAATGGCCGTTTTATAACCTGATGTGTAACAAAAGTGTTGCACTGAATGCCTCTGTCCAGATGGTGCGCCTGCAGGAGATCTTCAAAACCTTCTACCTGGGCAAACACAGCGGCAGGAAGCTGCAGTGGCAGTCGACGCTCGGCCACTGTGTCTTAAAAGCAGAATTCAAAGAGGTCGGTCCTTTATTCAGGAACACCCCAAAATTCAGACAATAAGCCATGACTTTTTCCCCCTCAACTTTAACCCCCGCGGCTTCTTCAAACATTTGTTGTCACTAATAAATGTTTGAATTTCTTAAAGTAATTGACGATAGTATATATGGTCAATAGGAGGTATTTCTCAATGTAATTGAAGCTAGATGCGCGCAAGCACACTTTGCGCCTCTTGTCTTGCACTCTTAATCCAGGAAATGGGCATGTACAGTGGAGTTTATTGCCACATTGCTAAAACACCGACCATTTAGTCTGTCGGCCAATCAGATAGCAGTAACTTCACAGCCCTGCTTGGCCTGCATTTTGGAGCCACCTCGGAAGAGGTTTTGAAAAGCAGTTCCATTGTATCTGCATGGCCCCGAAAAAGTGGAGTGGAAAAGCGACCAATCAAGGTGGAGAAAGGCTGTTTAAGTGTAAAACCGGTAGAATGGAAAATCATCTTACATACCAGATTTACCGCTACTCTGATTAACTTCTTATGTCAACTCTAATGTTATGTGTCACCCCAGGGGAAGAAGGAGCTGCAGGTGTCACTTTTCCAAACACTAGTGCTGCTGATGTTCAATGAAGGAGAGGAGTTCAACTTGGAGGAGATCAAACTGGCCACAGGAATAGGTATGTTTGGTTTAGCCAACAACCTGTTGTTGCGTCCCTGTGATTGAGAGCGACTGTTTGACAGGTGTCACATTCTTTGCAGAGGACAGTGAGCTGCGTCGCACTCTGCAGTCACTGGCATGTGGCAAAGCGCGTGTCCTGACCAAAATCCCCAAAAGCAAAGATGTGGAGGACGGTGATAAGTTCTCTTGCAATGACGAATTCAAACACAGGCTTTTCCGCATCAAAATTAATCAGATCCAGATGAAAGAGACGGTACAGCTTTTTGGTCTCATGCTCACAGGGTCGTCAGTGGGGATGTCGGCAGTGAACTCTGAAGTTTTTGTGTCACTGCAGGTGGAGGAACAGGCCAGCACCACAGAGAGGGTCTTCCAGGATCGACAGTATCAGATTGATGCTGCCATTGTGCGCATCATGAAGATGAGAAAGACTCTGAGCCATAACCTTCTCATGTCCGAGGTGTACAACCAGCTCAAGTTCCCCGTCAAGGTGATTGGGCCTTTGGTTTGGGGAAGAATGCTGCAAAGCAAACAGAAGTGCTTTTGCGGTTTATTTGCACTAAATGTTTCACTGATTGTCCAGTTATCAGTAGCTTTCTGTTGGTCAATACTGGACATTCCAGGTTTTGTTATTTCTTATCACTCGGTTAGCTTTTATATAGGTTAATTCAGGCTAATTCAGCTTTACGAGACACTTCTTTAGATGCATCTCCACAAACAATTCAGATCCAACACGGGGTTCTCGGTTTAAAATTGTATCATTCCTACGGCGGCAACGCAATCCAAATTTGTACGCAAGACACAACGCATAGTAGAGTATCAGTAACCTACTCCAATGTAGTAGAGTCGTACATTCAGAATTACAATTCACATTTTTATGAAAAACATTTCTTGCCCGAAACACAAATGTGAACAGTCGAATGAAGATAAGTACAGCAGTAACCGAGCATGCCTTCTTGTGCCGCATGACAACGTATACTTCGACCAGGGGTCGACAACCCAAAATGTTTAAAGAGCCATATTGGAGCAAACTAAACAAAAAACAAATATGTCTGGAGCCGCAAAAAATAAAAAGCCTTATAATGAAGGCAACACATGCTGTATGTATCTATACGAGCTATATTAGCCTGCTATCAACATGCTGTTCCTCTGCTCTGCTTTTTCACACAGCCTGCTGACCTGAAGAAGAGGATAGAGTCTCTCATTGACAGAGACTATATGGAGCGTGACAAGGAGAATCCCAACCAGTACAACTATGTGGCTTAGAGAACAAACTAATAAAATGTGAGGAGAGAACGAGGTCCAGATGGTCATGAGTGATCCACCTCTATGAACCTTTTTGCCCCAGTGGATGTTAACATTGTCATCGTGAACCCAGCCACAGACGAGCTGAATGGATGCCGCTCCACAGGATGTTTGTCGGGGGGGGGTCTAAAGATTGTGTGGACTGCACCTCCATCAAAAGAGAGTTTTGTTCCATATTTCTCAGTGCCTCCGAGCTCATTGGACAAAGGATGCACACATACACACGTTTGCTTTTTTTTTTTTCTCCAAGCGACAGAGAATATTTATTTTCAAACTCAAGAGTCTTTGTCCACACTTTGAAACATGCTCTTTGTTATCGAGTCACTTTTTCCATTTTATCTTCCCTCCACCCCCCCC